TAAAATTATTATTATTACTTAAAATTAATATTATAAAATTTTATATAAAATTTTTAAAAAAAATTAAAAATCTGTACAAATTTATATTTTATTATAAATCTATATAAATTTTTTAATTTTTTTCTTTTTACTAATTATTATTAAATTTGAAGTTTTGTACAAATTTTTGGATTTAAAAATTTATACAAAACTATATTCTTAAAAATTTTCTAATATTATTATTATTATTTTTTTGATTTTGAAAAAGATACTTTTTTGATCATATTTAGATCTGATAATAATTAATTCTAATTTAAACTCTAGTTAATATAAGATTTTTTGAGAATTTTAAAGATAATTTGCTTATTAATAAGTCTTTGATCAGTTTTTAATTTTTTATTAAGAGAAAATCTTATTTTTTTACATAACTTTTTTTTTCTAAAAAAAATAATAAAAATTTTTCATATTATTATTATTTTTTTATTTTTTTTTTGATAAAAAAATAATAAAAATCCTTTATATTATCTTTTCTTATTTTTTTTATAAAAAAATAATAAAAATCTCTTGTATTATCATCATTTTCTTATTTTTTTATAAAGAATAATAAAAGTTTCTTACTTTATTATTTTTATTATCTATATATTTTATTTTGATCAAGATAATATACTTTTTGAATATTTCTTGACTACTTCTATTTTTAAATTACAAGAGTTTTATCTTTTTTATTTTTTTCTCTATTTTTGCAAAAAAAAATTTTCTCTTGTTTTAATTAAATTATTTATTATCTTTCTATTATATCAAACAAAATTACATATATATACTATGAATTCTATAATATCTATTATGTAATTTATAATTATAAGAGATGTTCTGGACTATAATTAATCAAGTTTCTTTATTATAAATTTATTCAAATAGTTTCTATATAAATACATTATATAGAACTAGTTTAATTGGAAGGAAAAAAAGTTTCCAATATTTTTTCACAATAATCAAAATCCACTGTAACAAAGATTCACTATAAAGAGAGTGACTGTATATTATTAATATCACGTGATTACATATAATTTATTTCGAAAACTCATTTTATTGATTGTTTAAAAGATTTTTGCAGGTTCCTGTAAACCGTTCATATAGCAAGATCAGAAAAATTCAAAAACTGAAAAATAGCTTTTATTTTTTTTTCGCCATGGGTTTTATTGATCCTACGATTTGATTGGTCAGAAGATCCCAATTCAAACAAAATGTGCCCTCCTCCGCAAAATTCTGATGTATAGATATATATTTGTCGGCTGAAAGTAAAAAGATGGTTTTCGACATCTTATTTTAATAAGATAAAAATTGATATTTAAGATAAATGGGAGGTGCAAGAGACGGTTTAAAAATTAAAATTAAACAAGATTTTAGAATCATCTGTCATAGTTAAAGAAAGAAGAGAGTGGGTATCGGACAGGGTGAGTATGTCATTGAGTTGTTTGTCAAGTTGCTGTGTATCCGAAGTTAACGTTGCACTAGGTGGAAAATGTCTGTGGATAAAAGTTCTTCGTGGTCATGTTCTTCCAATTTCTGATCTCTCATAATATCTGGTGGTGACGGGATTTTATGGTGAATAAGATACATGGCAAATTGAAAGCTCATTATGGTCGCAGTCACAAACGACTGCAAATGTTCTTGGTTCGTGATATGGACGATGGAGAAGTAGATATACGCGGGCTTATCTTGAATATTCTGTTCGTCATCCAATGTAATAAAGACAGTTAGGACGTCGACATATGATACTATCCTCACGGATATGGCAAATAGATCTCGTTCGATTCGTTGTTGGTCTTGTAAATATTTTTTATTTATCGTTTAGAACTAGGGTGATCCGAGGCCGGAACATCACGTGAATGGTGCAGTAGATATACATGTAGGTTTAATGTAGGTTAGCATGATTAAAAAATCCAAATTTTTAATCGACCCGGCAAAACAAATCCGAATCAAAGACACGTAATGAAAATTTGAAATAGTAGCTACATGGCGGGTAATACAAACAAATAAAGTTGTATTTAGTGTGTGATAACATTCTTAAATCCTGCTGAATAGCATAGATATCTAAAAAATAAATGGAATTTAGAGTTTTTATAATTCTTACAAACTTCGACTTGTTACAACAAAGTTATATAGTATTCTCTAGTTATCTTCACTTTAACGAGGTTTGAGCGTATCAAATTACTAAGTACATACATCAATCTTCATTGTTCGGAACTTATGAATCATCACAACTCTGTGTTCTCCAAAACAGTTGCGTGACCTCGATAAATCGGATAAATCATACGATCCGCAACCAATCCAACTTGATTGCGTCGCAGAGCCTGTGATTCCAAAACTAATCAACCACTGAATTGGTTCCTTCCACAGGCCCAGCAAGGAGTTTGAGTAACAGTTATAAAAAACAAGCAAAACTGATATGATGCGCGCTTGGAACGAGATAAGATCGTTAAAACGCGTAACTTATGATAGCACAATTTTGTTGGCGTCCATGAAATCTCACGTTCGACGATATATAGAGAATAATGGGTTTATTATTATTAATAAATATAAATGAAATAAGAGACTTTGAATTAAAAATTAAAACATGCATAATATTTAAAAAATATCTATAAAGTCTATTTATAAAGTTCATCATATTTCATTCATTGATTATGTTCTTTATCGTTATCGTTCTCGTTCGAATTATCCATACTGTCAGTATAATTAACCCTCGCTCCGTTATTTACCTCAGAAACCTCATATGGCATCCAACTCTTTGCATAATTTGGGAATACGAAACAATATGCCACAAGCCAATACAACACGCCAAACAAACTGCCCGTCAATTTTTCGGTAAGATTATGAAAATAAATACCAGTCATAAGGAGCATCCACCACCACACGATCAATAACGCTTGCAACATTCGCGTCACTATTTTATGTGTGGTGTTCATCACCAGCTGGAAGTCATGATACCGATACGCGACAATGCTGAATTCTTCGCAGAGGAATAAAGACGCGTGTATTAAGAGGAAACAATGACCGCTAACATCGTGGCCACCGATCCAACGGCCTCCATTCGTTTTACATGCGTACGCTTTCGTGTGATTCATGTATGCGCCTTCTTTTATGCATTCGCCGCCGGTCCATAAAAACACTCGATCAATTGTAGATGGACCAAAGAACCACTGGGTCATTATAAACCAGTATGCAGTGGCAAGGAACCATCGTATTGCAGCTTTCCATCGTTCTTTCTTTATGGTTTCTAAAGAGTTAGTGTCGTCGTCGTTGTCGTCGTGATGTGTGTCGGTGTTGGTTTTTCTTGTCGGGTGTAGCGGATATACAACTTTATAGGCGAACAAGAAAAATAGTATCGTTGTCCAAAACCAACCATTTTTAACTAGCCATACATTAAATATATTTGATTTTTCGGAGAAATAACTTTGTGGTGGACGTGCAATGGTCCAGTGGAGTGAGCCAAGTATCGCCGTTGCTGGATACAATACTAGTAAAAATAGTTGTAGACTGTGTGGAATAAAATTTTTCACTACTGTCATTGCTAATTCTGCTTTTTGATTCTAGTTGAAATTAGTGTTCTGCCTAAATTAGTCTTCTCTTGAATGGTGGTTTTTTTGGGTTTTTCACGTGAATG